TTGACTATGCGACGGAAGTCCTTTCTGCTCTCTTCGTCCCTGAATATCCTGTATTCGCGTTTGGCCTGTAGGCACTCCGACGTCCACCAAGGTGCTGTCCTACCCTTCTTCACACTCCCGCGTCTACCAGTGACCCTGATTGCGTTGCTAATAGTTTGGACCAGCTTATCAGCAAGATTGTCCACCGCGTCTACTGAAGCCATCGGCTGTAGCTCTATTCCTTGAGCCCAACGGCCTAGCACCTTTGCAAAGTCTTCGAGGGCGTCGTCTGTCACTCGAAACGGTTGGCCTGTTTTGATAACAGCTCTAGCTTTCGAGTTCGGACGGGGGACGTCTCCTGCAAGAGTTCTGTGGTCCGATGTCGAGTCAAGCTCTATCGAGACGTCTGCAAGGGCTCCCGCGTTAGACCAGACTAGGTCGAGTGTGTTTCCAAGATCGTGAGTCGAGACGCCCGGGGTCGAAGATAGGTCCATACCGTGCTCGGACATCCATTTGGCGAGCACTTGGCCGTCACCGTGTAGCCTGGTGGCCATGGGCTGCCAGTCAGGGTGGACGGCATTGAAATCTCCACCAACTACTGTGGGCCCAGATGGAGCCCATGATAGGAGCGGCGAAAGGTCTGCTCCAGGAGCGCGATACACTGAGACAAACGTGACTCCTTCAACCTTTACGGCGGTAAGATCTGGTGATGCCTCGCAGATTGCTAGTTGTAGGCACTTGGTCCCTTTTCGCGTATAAATGAGGGATCGTGGCCTTGCGGGGTTGGCTGTGACATGGGGGGGCAAGTGCTTGTCGAACCCAGGATGCGACTTGGTGAGCCAGAAGCCGTCCTTGTGTTGAGTCCAGGGTTCCTGGATGAGTAGGACATCGGTTCCTGAATCCCAGGCGGATTGCAGGATGATGTCTGTAGCGGGGTCTCCTCTGCCCAAATTAGCGCAGAGGAACAAGATCGTTGTTGCCGTTGTGTGTAGCTCGGTAAGGTTGTGGTCCCTTACGGGCATTGAGCAACGTTTGTAGTTTTGTTTTCAGCAGTCGCCTCAGCGGCTTTCTGCTTTGCTTCCAACTCTCGGATCGAAGCGTTTCTTTTTTTTGACCTTGTTCCCGGATCACCGACGGCTGGTCTCTTGTTCTCGGGGATGAGGGTTTGATAGTGTTCCACGGGGTGCGTTGTATAGCCTAGTAAAGATCTAGGTGGTAATTGAAGGTTCTAAATGGGTCAAAGGAATGACAGGTCTTCTCTAGGAAGAGATGAATGGGCAACTAGTTGCAGTAGGTGTTACACGTGGGTCTTGCTGATGAAGAACTGAGCAATGGATAAATGGTCTTCCCGAAGAAGAGATGGGTAAACAAATGTATTGTAAAGGGTAAATAAAGAAGACGTTGCGTGAGGAGTAAATCTCTCTCACGCCGAACTATTATATACAAGAGTAGAAGCCTTTGCCAACCGGAATTAATCGTAATCAATTCTTGCCAATATCTTCGCATTAATGGCTGTGTTCTTGTCCTTCTCTTCATGACTCTCTTGCATATCCTTACATGACTTTTTACACGACTAATTGTATAGGGGAAGCTATTATTAAATTGATGTCTTTAATTAACTACCCCTTCATCTTATCACGAATTAAAATTAGTATTAAAATTCTAATTACGGATCCGTGAAACTTGTGCGTTGCACAGTCTTTCCGCCGGTCCGCGTCGGCCTGGCCATGCAGCTAGGCTCGGTTGCGGCATGCGGCCCATGGCAATTGATGCACCTTGGGACGAGCTGTTTGCACTCAGTAGCCTTGTGCTCAATCGATCCACAGCGAGAGCAGCGCTCTGCTCGTGAACAGATCTTAATTGGGTGGTGTCCCCAGCATCGGTTGCATTGCGCAATTTTGGCTTTACGCTGAAGTTCGTTTAAGCGACCGCTCTCTTCGAAAAGTCTTTCTCCCAGCTTTGGCTTGCCGGTTGCAAAATGCAACACCCAGTCGGTGGACGGCCTAGCCATGCTTGTTGCAAAGGCACGAGCCGAAGTCGGTCTAACGCCTGTCTTTAAGGTCGCTTCCTCCATTACCATCTCCGATGTTACTGGCGTTGGTCCTTCTAAAGTGAAGAGTCTGTCTGGTACATTAGGCGCCAACACTGAGATCCAGTTGGAAGCAGCTTCCAGTTTCATTTCCGTGCTCTCCAGGAGTACGGCGCCTGAGAGGAGCGCGTTTCTTGCTCCGTCTCCTTCAGCTAGTGTCGCAAACCCTGAGTTGACGATGGTAACCTGCTTAATTGCAGAGTTAGCTAAGCGCAGCTTGCTTGCGAGGCTCATTTTGATGTAATGAGGAGACATGCGTCTCCATGGGTGGTCGGGCTTGACCCGCAGGAAAACACGCTCGTCTGGGCGAGCTAACTTGGGAGCTGAGGCAGTAGGCCTCGGAGTTTGTGTGGGCCCTGTCGCTTTTGACTTAGGCTCGCTGGCTGGTTGCGATTTTGTCGCTGCTGGTGGTGCGGCCTTAGTCTTTTTCCTCACTACCTGAGTCCAAGACCCCTCAGTAGCGATGGGGGTTTGTATAGAATCGATGTCGATTGGCCTAGTAGGCTTTGTCGAAGCCGGCTCTTTGCCTTTCGCCTGGCTGCTTTCTCTCGTGAGTATTTGCACTGGTCGTGAAGTGCTCGCGCTATTCTTTCCTCCCGACCTAGTAGCCGACGTAGGGAGGGTTGTCGTCTTGCTGCTACTGGCAGCCTCTGATGGCCCACTGGATTGGGGCTCGGGGTTTCCGCGCAGGATGTTTGTGATAGTGGCCTGTAAAGCCTCTCCATTCTTTTCGACAGCTCGTCGGAGCTGTTTGTTGGTTGTGGCCGCCAGTAGGTTAATGTACCCACTGACGATACGCTCAGCCTCTGCAAAGCGTATGTTAAACGCCCTCGCTTCATCTGCGAGGAAGTTAGTCAAGGAAGCACCCATTGACTCGGGGGGGGTTTGGGGGCGAGTATTGGCAGCTCGCCTCGCAGATCGGTTCTGCGTTTGCTTGTGTGTTGTTGTGGTGGTGGCTAGGTGGCCCTGTGAGGACCATTTCGACGTCAGGACGCGTCGAATTTACGGGTGGGAGAGGGGGCCAAGAGCCAGCCTCTGCGGAGGACTGGGGCGGCATGGCAAGGAGCAAATCAGAGAAAGTTGAACAGTAGATAATCGCGTGTCTGGCGCGTCGAGACAGTTTTTTTGGGGGTTGCTGTTAAGATAGTTATGTATATGAAAAGGTGTTGTGGCGGATAGCTGGTCGGGCTCTTTTGTAGTTTCTGGGTGTTATGGGGCGCACCAGGGCGTCGGCTAGTTCTATAGGGACTGAGCCGTCCGTTTCGTGATAATGATCATGAGCTGTGAACTGGCAAAACGTTAAATTAAATCAAACTCAAATAACACCGCCATCTATTATACGGTGGACCTCGACATCCCAACCTAAGAATTCCCTGGGTCCTAAGCTCCCAAGAAGGGAATATCGCCTTCAGAAAGTGGGTCTACAAGACTTAGGTCATTGAAGACTCATTGTCGCTCCTAGCTTTGACACTCGCTCCATACTACCTATTGAGCGTGGCTCAGTCACTTACTATTAGTTCTATAAGTATCAGTGGTAGACCGTTTCTCGCCTCCGTTATGTAGATTTATATTATCATTCTGTCCACGCTGTAGTTCATAGAAGGCCCAGAGGAAGGATGCTTTTGATATATTTGAAGTTTGGGGCAGCTGACATGAGGGCCGGAGCTCAGCTAGTTTATGCCAGGATCTTAAGAGCATCGGCACGTCGGGCAGTTTTTCTAGACTGAGCCAGCCGGCACGCGACCTGTAGAAACGTGTTGGGCGCTGGCATGATGTAAAATAATAAACACACAAGCAACACCGCCATGTCCTTAGATAGAGATAGACACCATTCATATATATCGACATTAGACCCCATTTGATTGGATCCAGTCGTACCCTGTGATACCAACAATAATTCCGAACAATTCCACCTCTTTGCGCTAAAGTTTAAGTCTTATCTCATTTCAGATTGAATTTATCTCTCCAGATCCCTTATATTTTTCTTCATTGATCTGCCGCCATCCATTCAATTGCGAATTTACCTGTAGTCTTGAATGCCATTGTAGATTTGGGAATAGGTCCAGTTAGATTAGAATCTCATTCTCTTGAAAATATCTATAGCGTGACTGTGTAATATAGGGATTTAATCGTTATAAATCATGGATTTTTTCTGTCCTAATAACGGCCTTGCTGACAAGAATAACCATGATTAACGCACCCGTATATCTAATAAAACTCGCAACTTAAGATGTCATGCATGAAAGTTTTTTAGTCCAATACATTAAGACAAAGATATACTATTTATGAATAGAGACTAATAGCAAATTTTTTGTAATTGTGCATCACGTGCAAATGTGTTAGCGTGCCGGCGCTCTTTCATTACTCTGTTTAGTCCCAATGCAAAGTAGTAATTGGTAACTTCTTGTAATTCACAACATTATATGCGCTCCTCTTCCTCACGATCCATCTCTTCATGATAAATTTTGATGAATAAATTTTGAGCTTAGGCCAATAGGCTTTTGTAGGTTACTAGAGATTTATGACAGGTTAGAGTTAGGAAGCTTTTAGACCCCATGAATTCGTTATAGTAGAGAGCTATGGTTAAATTCTAAGACATCGAATCAACTCTCCTTGTCAGCGAAGAGATATATAGATTACTTCTCAGCTACCATGTAATTTTATGGCTAATTATAATGATTATCACTGGGCTAAGACGTTAGTGTTAAGGATCTAGAAAGATCCAATGACAACATGACATAAAGTATTGTAGAGGACTTTTTTCTATTTTCTGCGATTTTAGTCTCAGAAAATTTTGCCATGTAATCCAACGATATTGCGAGACCCAAAGCTTCCTGGAAAACTTTAAGACTTGAATGTAGAAAGGGTGAGTTAATTTTGATGGTTCTTTTTGGCGGATCAGATCAAATACCATCGTCGTAAACTGGCTAGTTCAGGAACCTTTGGATTTCTGGCGATGAAGTATTCCTCCTGTAGCGATCTCCATTAACCCATTAATGAGTACTTTATTGGCTCGTATCTGCAAAGTATCCACAGTAGCTCCAAGAGGTCGAGTCACCTTGACTCTTCCCTCATCGCTGAGCACAAATGCGCCACAGGCAATTTTCACAATCTTAACTTTTTCATCCCATAAATTAAGAGCCATGTGTGCTTTTAGGTGATCCGCAAGCGCTTCAAAAAATGGTGCATCACCAGGCTTACTTTTCATGCTGATCATTCTAGAAACATCTTCCCTCGCGATTTGAAAGCTAATAGTTTTTAAGGTTGTCAATCTTTCTGGGAGAACGAAACCTATCACAATGGCGACTTCTTTGATGATGTCTCTTAAAGCTTCACTCCTTTCTGCTGTATCAAGTGGTTCGTCAATACTATCTAGAGATATATTTGAGAGATACTTCTCGCAACGATTTATCAGTTGTCGACTTGATAAAAGAAGACATGAAGTTCTGGCGTCAAATGTTGTTGCCAAAAATTCAGTGAAGATTTGCCTCAATGATCCAGGCATCTTTAACAACAAGAGGGGAAAGTGACAAAAGCCATTTTTCCTACTCTCTCCTTCGTTTCCTAGGAGTATGGCTTGATATTCTGCTTTCTCATAAGAAAAGGTGATGATCATTCCAATACTTGTATTTGTCAAAGCTGGGCTATCCCTATGAGTCGCTGGAGCCGACTCCACCTCAGCACCGTAAAAATCAATCTCACTGACGGTATTCCACGTCACTCCCTGCAGGGCACCGATCCTTGTCGTAAAATCATTTCCTATCATTGGCCCTAAATTTAAATTGTGCGATGCCTCACCCGAAAGGATATCTAGGAGTCGCCGTGCATGAATGCGAAGATGGCGTTTCTCGTGGACAGTCGTGTCACCAATGTAGAGAGGAGAGAGGCGAAAAAGACTGAATGTCGAATTGTAGAGTGGGCATTCACCCGTAATATTGCCAATGGCCATTATCAGAGGTTATTGCTCAAACGTCATAGGGTAAATTATTCACGCTATTGTCTTTAATGGTGGTGATGCCGAAATAACAATCTGCTCACAGGGCTATATTAATTGTTGCTTACTACGCACTCGCAGTTCTGCTCTCCACCAACTGAGCAGGCTTCACAAGTTACTGTCCTGTCGACTTACAGTTTCTAAGACTGAGTATCTTTTCAGCAGTAGACCAGCCCAATATCGTCGATCTCCTAAAGCCAGAGAAGGTCTAGAATTTAAACTGATAGAGGCCTACCAATGACGAGGGTATTGGCCCTTCGAAACCAAATTTAGCTATGAGCATATTTACAGCCTCAGGCCCTAAAATCAAAGTGCCAAAAAATGTTCCTCATATGGATCACACTCTGGATTACGCCAATATACTTCTAAAGCAACATGATCTTCGGAGGGGGAGGGCATGACTGAACACCTGTGCGCGGTGTCCTCTACGAACCTGGGGGTGAAATATTCTCCCAGGGCCAAGTTCAGTCAAATTTCGCATCATCAAACAAGTTGGCCCACGAGGCAAAAATCCAAATTACTCCTCCACGTCGTTTTTCCGCTCCCAACGAGTTTAACGCCTACCTAAGTCTCATCAAGCCTACAAGTACAACCTAGTACAACCTCATCCCAATGACCACACCTCTCGTCGACTTTCTCTGGCCTTAGCTAGTCACCAAATACACGCCCACGCCGATATTTATACCCGACGGAGGAGGCAAAGCGTGGAGCACAAATCTGGGAGACAGTTCTTTGGGGTGGACGTGAGAGGGATCAGGACAAGTTTACAAGATGATGCAAAGGAAGGATACAACCTCGAAGAGCGTGAAATTCCGAATTTTGGCAAGGAGTTTTACGAATTGAGCTTTGTGCGCGTCAAGACTTCGCTTGCGAGAGTGCAGCTGACACTATAAACACAAGCCAACGATGGAAGGTGTTGTGGTCTGCCTCCTGATGGTGTTCTCCGGTATAGTTTGAGTAGCCTGGGCACCTACTCCACTTGGGAAGGAGACGCCCAAGACCATATTTCGCGCGGAAAAAAGTTGAAAGATGATGAAGTCATGTTTGGATAACTCAGGGTTTTTGAGACGTTCCCCTGAGTGGGTATTCACGGATGAGGGTTGACTTGGTGTCAAGGGAAAGCTACCATAACTTCGCAGTGGTATTTGCAAATGAAATCCGAAGCATGAGTGCTCTACTTGTATATTCAGTCATCATTTCTATTCTCCGACATTGTGTTATGACGCATCCGGCAGCTCAGAATAAAAATACAAGAAAGGAAACTTCCACGCGAAGCCCCATATTACAAATGAAAACCTTTTACAATCTCCCTTCTATCGTTCTGCCTCAGCCACAACGCACCCGAGTCTCGAGTTCAATCCCTTTTTCCATGCCAAATCTCCTAGGCTGTCGATTTAAGACCTCCGAGCCGCAGGTATTCCTGCTATCCCCTGACTAGTCGCCGCATATATTCCGCTATTCTAGATGTATTCCATGAACTAACCGTCACCTTGGTCTGAGCAGGACTTCCAACGCTGGTGCCCTCTAGCTACTTCTTCAGATTCCAGCACTCCAAAACCTGATCCCCTGGCCATCGAGACATCTTTCGCTGAGGCGATGATTGCCTCTTTAGCCCTTTTAGCTGCAACCCGAGCTCGTGCTACCCCCAGGAACCTCCCTTTTTTATGACCCAGTGCAACTACTACTTAGTATAATGACATGTAGTTGTAGCTTTACCACTGTGCCATTCTCAAGGAGTCTGACGTAGTGATATTTCTACAGGGTACGAAATAATACAGTCAGTGGATTAGAGATTGAACAACAATATCTAATGCGAAAGCTTCACTGAGAGAAGTAGAGGAGACAAAGGAAGTAATGCGGTGAAGTGGTCTTCCCAAGAAAGAGACGAGGTTTAGAAGTAAAAGCGTATTTATTTTCAGAAGACGTTACGTGAGGTTAGAATATCCTAATGCTAATCTTTCTTATATGTATAATTCAATCCAAATACCCATCATACTTTCCATAATATCATGATTTCATACTACCTGTGATATCATACTCTCTCCAACTCAAAGATATCGTACGCGATCGATTAAATGACGTCCTAAACACACAAACAATGTTATTCAGATCTAGATGAAGTCATGACGAAGAGAATTACAGAATTTTACTTGACTCAAATATGAAGTCCAAAGACAGTGTATCTTGATCTAGTTTCAATAACTCATCATGGTAGTTCGATCTGTATAAGCCCTTAACACTGGCCCGAAGTGCAGAGGCCTTAAAATATCGGGCGCCGATATTTAGTCGAGCTACGCTTTTCATGGATAAGCAGTAGGGTATAATTAATTTGTTTTATTTCCGACGCAGTCTATATGGTGGTAGGCTATTAGGGTAGTGCTTGATCTTGGTAAGCTAGTGAGTAGGTGTGGATGCAAGGGTCTAGAAAGGTAAAGGTGGTCTGGTGGTAAACAAGTAGTCACCACATCGCCTCATATGCTGAAGCGCTAGTAGTAATGTCCTGCATATAGTCTGGTAGGCATGGGAGTGTTCTCTCTTCACGCAACGTCTTCTTACATTCTGTACAAATATTGTACCACTTCATATCTCTCTTCCTTACAGAAGACTATTTCACTGCTATCCTATGATCATATTCAATATCCCTTCGTGCCCTACGGAACGTTAGAAGTAAGCTCCCTGAGAACGCTAGGCTGTACAGTTGTACTTAGGTGTAAGATGTAGTCTTGTTTCTTTAATTTTGCAAACTGTTTTATTAGTCCACAAGCCATTCTTGTCCTCGTTCGTTCTGATATACTCTCGTGCGCCATCAGCCCGTTCTCAATCCTGAGGATGGCTATCTCCTCGCGTACCAGCCAAAACACCCTTGCTCAATGTGACGAATCCACGCCAGTTGCTCTAATATCACTGGTCTGGACTTTCTAGGTCTGGCTTGGCAGTCTCTGGAATTCGATCGGTGGGGTCCCTCACACTTGCAATATCTAGTGAAGTTCTTGCACTCTCTTTCAGAATGCATATTTGATCTGCAGTCCCAGCAGGCTAGAGCGCGGGAACAACAAGCGGCATGGAAGCCCAAACAGCGTTTGTACTATTCGATTCGCCTACGAGGCTTGTGAATGATAGCAGTACTAGACTCGTCGAAGAGGCGGGAGCCCGGGCAAAAATGGCATGCCAGTTTCTATACGTCGCACCTGGATTGGCACCTTGCGGGTTTTAATGTAGGTCTCGTTTGAGATCCACCCAGCATCGACCATAAGAATACCGTTGAGTGTTTTTAGGGTCGCGGATACATTTGCGATCCGAAATATGATAAACTCGTAAGCTTCTTCAAGTATGGCGTTGAGATTCACCAGTTTCGGAGCAGAACCAAGAAGCCAAAGGCTCATAATTTCATCCTTTTCCAGAATCGCATAGCGGGTTTTGACTTGGTGAAAGGAGCTGGTGTCACCCATTATTTGCTCCAGCCCAACCTCTACTTCGATGCGTGCGTGGCTAGGTGAGAGCTTGCGCCAGGGGTAGTCGCTGCCGAGACGAATGAAAAGTCGTTTGCCAACTTTCGCCATAGGTGCATCTTTTTTCGGGACTATGACCGCAGGTTGTGGCATAGCCTTTATAGTGGGGACTGCTTTTTGTCGAAGTCTATTTTTGGCCACTGTGGCCCAGGTACTTTTTGAAAGCTGTGCTGGGATGGCGGGATTGTTGTACTCCTAGCATCGGGTGCCCTTGGGAAAGGGTTCGTAGGGCGAGGAGGGAGGAAAAAAGGCGTAGAGGCCAGGCCTGAGGCCATGTATTGCACAATGGCGGCGCATAGGAAGACTCTTATGGAGTCTATAAATTGTCTGTTTGACCCGTTATTCAAAGGGGGGAGGGCTGCTTCGACGCCAGAGATGGCGGCGGGACAGAGTGCCAGTTTTGCCACTGTTTCGGCGGGGAGTCGTTGTTTAGCTTCGAAAATTGGTCAGATCTCGAGGGAACACTCTGCTTTTGCGGCTACTTTAGGCTGCGACTCTTGAGTTGAAGCTGTATTTGGTACAGCTATCTCCGACATATTTTTTTTTAAAATGAAATTAATTTATATTCAGCTATAGAGCTATAACACATGACCGGTGCTATGCTTACATGTTGGATGACTCTTTTGACGTTAGAGACACTCATACTCTGGATTTCATTCGCAAATACCACTATGAGGTATGCTTGCTTACACAAACAGTTGACCCTCCTCCGTTAATACCCACCAAAGGGAATTTCGAAACCTTTGGTTATCCAAGCATGCCTTCGTCATCAATGTACACCAGCACCGCGAGAAATGTGATTGTGTTTTGCCGGATTCGAACCAGCCATCTACTTTCTCAAGTGGGATATGTGTCCAAGCTATCCAGACTCTACTTGGCAGACCGGCCAAGACGATGTACCACCGCACTATCCAACCATGGCGGTATTTATAGTGTCGCCTGCACTCTCGCAAGCGAAGTCTTCACGCGCACAAAGCTCAATTCGTAAAACTCCTTGCCAAAATTCGGAATTTCACGCTCTTCGAGGTTGTATCCTTCCTTTGCATCATCTTGTAAACTTGTCCTGATCCCTCTCACGTCCATCACAAAGAGCTATCCTCCCAGATTTGTGCTCCACGCTTTGCCTCCTCCGTCGGGTATAAATATCGGCGTGGGCGTGTATTTGGTGACTAGCTGAGGCCAGAGAAAGTCGACGACAGGTGTGGTCATTGGGATGAGGTTGTACTAGGTTGTACTTGTAGGCTTGATGAGACTTAGGTAGGCGTTAAACTCGTTGGGAGCGGAAAAACGACGTGGTGAAGTAATTATAAACTTTGCCTCGTGGGCCAACTTGTTTGATGATGCGAAATTTGACTGAACTTGGCCCTGGGAGAATATTCCACTCCCAGGTTCGTAGAGGACACCGCGCACAGGTGTTCAGTCATGCCCTTTTATGTTACAGATCTG